ACGTGGCACAGCATCTTTTGTGTGCCCACATAAATGATTCAGTGCAATATGGAAATTGCTCAGTGGGTTCCAGCAGTGAAAGTGCAGAGGAGTTTTGAAAAGCAGATCAAATTTTGGTCTCACTCAATCCCTAACAGTAAAATTAACAGTTTTATTTCAAAATATTGAACTTCTACGGTGCCTGTGTCTTAAACCTTAGTCTCATGTGTTTTACTGTTCAGAGGTAAACGGGTCTCTGTATTAATTATAACTGGTCTCTTTTTCGGCTTATTAGTTTTATAATAGATTCATCAACCATGGGAATTACTTGCTGCCTGATTGAGCAGAAAAATATATTATCTTCATCAATGTAATTTAAAACCAGTGGTCGTTGCATCTGGCTGCAAGCCCCAAAGAAAAGACATTCTTCACTGGTTTTATCTGCCATGAATATATCCACACTGAATGGAAATTTAAGCATTTCATGCTGAAATGACTGAAGTGTTATTAGTTCCTTCCGGGTCGTCAATCATAATAAATTATGATCCTATTTGGAGAAAACCAGATGGCATTGGTGAAATGTCCAGTGGGTTCCAGCGCCACCACAAGATGATGTTGTTTTTCTGTTTGGAGTTTGCATTGTGTCCTTGTCTGTACGTGTGTTTTCTCAGTTGTTTCACTGTCGAGAAACAAACATCAAGAATTAGGTCGATCTTTCCACCTAAATTGACTGCAGGTTTTAATGTGTCTGCGCAGGAAGTGTCTTGGTTTATTTAAGCTCCGACCATGTCATTGCCTTCCTTCTACTGTACTTTAAAGCATATCTCAGCTGGCTACAGAACTGGCATGCTGTACATTTCAAAGTAACACCATCAGGATAACTGACAACTAACCACATCCCCAAATATTGTATTTTTAAACTTAAAACATGTTATTGAATAGCTACTTTATTTCATGGTAAAATAATATTGTAATAGGGAGAGTGAATCTGGCAAAAGCGCAAACCACGAGAAAAAAAAAAGAAGATTGATTTCACCCTGACTGTGAGAAGAGATGATATACTGTATGTGTCTTTTGCCAACACCCTTTGACGCACACACACACACTGCCTAAGGTGTGTCTGACATTAAAGCTTGACGACACCTATTAGCAGTTAAGGCTAAGCACTTACTGTCAAAAAATGAACATCCTACACTAAACACTTTAACGGCTGCAATGTGCCCGTTTATTATCGATTGCGTCCAAAATTAGTCAAATTCCTGTTTTCTACAACGTTCCGCCCGACTTCAGGGCATCTACAGTATCTGACACAGTCACTGAGCAGGTGTGTGTGGAAGAGAGCGAGAAAGGTGTGAATAGAACTATCTCATTGACTCTACTCACAGTGATACATGTGGGTAAAAATATGCCTTCAGGGAAAAATATTTCAACTGATCTCATGTTTCAGTTATCATACAGTCTGTCATCGTTTCACCATGATTTAGAAGGAGCCCATTAAATACCTTTCTGAGGTGAAAAAGAAGCCAGCCAAAGGTTTTAGCCGCCCCTCCTTTTTTTTGTTCCTCACACACCAGGGTATTTCTTTCTGAGGAATAATCAGAAAAATCTGAATCTTAATCTGAAGAGTTCTGATTCTGATTCTGAGAAGAATAATCCCAAAAGATGTTTTCCCGTTTTTAGGTACAAGGGGTTGTTGATTTGTTCCCATGGCGTGATGTAACTCGATTTGCACTGTAACTCTGAACTCCCATACTGTCCGATTTACGTGTGGAAGCGATGGTAGCACAATACAATGTATGGCGTACAACTTGTGAATGTAAAAGCTGTCTTTCGCGTATAGCGACACGTGACAATGTCTTCTTTTGGTCTGTTCAAAACAAGTTTCCATGCAGAATTTGTTTTAACGCCGTACATTGGATTGATGAAACAAGACTTTCTTGGGAGGTGGCAACATTACGACGAAACACCGTAGGTTGAGGTCATGATAAACCGAGGAACCCTCTGTACTGTAAACTCTGGCCCTGAGGCTACGAGTATTCTTTTCTTGTCGTGGCCCCTTCCGTCACTCATTTCGTATATAGACATGATTCTTTTCTAACCACTCTAAATAAACCATGCACTGGATGCCCTAAATATAGTCACCCTAGTTGTGATAGAGGGGCAATCAGAGAATGACGGCTGCCCATCACTGGGTTAACTGCAGTGCCCAGAGACACAATGGTCTGCAGACCTGAGCCAAAGCCATCCTCAGTGTAAAAGATATGACTGCAGTATGTCAGGCTCGATGTTTCGTACTGTTTGGTAGCACATTGAGAGATTCTCACAATAAAAGGATCGCCGGACAAAAGCAGCTATTGATTCGTGCTGCTCTCAGACAATTTTTACAAGACAGAAGTGTTTTCCTTCCGCATAAACCTATAAATAAGGAATAGAGAGAGATTGTTTGCGTTTCTTTTTGTCACTAATCGACGTTTTGTCAAAGAACGGGATCAACGGAATCTACAGAATAGAGAGCTGGGGCAGCTGGGACAGAAGTACACTGTGGCTGTACATCAGCATGATTTGATTTTTTATTTAATTCCAATGCATTCCAAATTCCTCATATATACTGCATGTAGTTAAATTTTAAAAAAATATTTTGAAACAAAAAGACCCAGTTTTCCCATGAACCTTTTAAAGAGGCCATGAAGCAGGAACCTAATGTTTTAACGGGATTGTAGTTATCTGTGGGCCACTGTGATCAAGCTCAATTAGAGCAGCATGCTTTGCGCTAAGCAGAGCTAATCACTGGGTGGAGGGTAGTCTGCTGTGGAGGCACGGGTAGTCACTGTCAACAGAAAAGGCAAAGGATTCAAAACAGACCTGGAGCTGTGAAAAGCAGCTAATGAGCCTACATGTTCACACTTGGTCTACCCCCGCAGAGAACCTTGTCCTGGGCAAAGCCGAGGTGAACAAGCGGTGCAGTATTTTGTGCTCTGACATGTTCCACATTAGAGGCTAACTGTGAGTAAAGAGGAGATTAAAGATTTCTTTTGTAAACATATTAGAATTAATTTGGAGTATATTGGAAATTGGCTAAAAAAAAACCAAAACACCACAACAATGCTCATGAGAGATACTGTAACAAAATAACTCCATGAAGGACAAGTTAAAACTTATTTTGTCTGAGTCTGGCATTTCTTCATAAAAATCAACAATTACATGCACATTTATTTATAATACTACCATGACAAAATCACCTCCATACAACAAATCCTCTTAGATAGAGATACCAATAGCATGTGGTGAAAAATGTGTCCACGTCATTCCACAACACATTATTTAATATTTTAAAATTAGTTTTTATCACAAATGTCTCAAGAGTGAAATGACGGAATTAGAAGCTGACATGACAAATTATTTTATGGTACAGTAAATGTTAAATGTACTGAATGGTCTTTTTTTGCTTGTAATGACCTGATCCACAGTATAATAATAATAATAATAATGATAATAATAATAAAAACAATTTTCACATATTGTCTAAAAAAACTGATAAAATAACTGTTCACATACAACACAGGAAAATCTAATTTTCCAAAAGCTGTCGATGGTTGAATCAAACAGAATAGGGTTCAGAAAAACACTAATTACTGCAAAATCACGCACAGTAGAGTGAAACAATGTTCGAACAATTTGACCTGAACTAAATATTGTCTTATTCAACCTCACAGCGCCTAGTAATTACACCTCAGATCCTGAGCTAAAGAAAACAGTGACATTATGATGGTTTGAATATAGCGAATGAAGTGAAAAGGGGGTACAATATGCAAAACTGGTTTAAGATTGATTTTTGTAAAAATTCACAGCACAGCAAATTCCTATGGAATATCTGACAATCAATTATAGTAAATAGCTGCAGACTGTGTAGCTTGTCAGCAATTCACTAATAATACTTGCCAATTAGATAAATGTTTTATTGAAAAGCATGAACAAGATGAATTATGTTCAATCACAAACAATAAATATGATCTCCCAGGAAGCCGATGCAAAGAAGCTGAAGAGCAGTGAACATGTAGTTTAATCAGTAAGGCGTACTGTAGTCTTTCTCCAGATCGAGAAGTTTAACAACTGAAGCACACGGCTGTCAGTGGTGCTGAGATCCACAACTTGCATAAATGACAGTGATATCATAACTGTGTACAGTGTAACTTTTTTTAATCTACTTCAGAGAGTGGGATTCTCTGCCGTGGCTCTTCCCAGGGTTAATTTTCCTTTTCCTTCCAACATGGAGCCTTTTTTAAGTTGTTCGATATGATGCTTGACTGTAGGAAAGCAGCAAAATTAAATTACAGAGAAAGCTGGATGTGGGAATGATGCATGTGAAGGATCATTACTCTTAACAGGATATGGCCTTATAATGCTGATATTCTATTAGCACCAGAAATTAGTGACTGTGAACGGAAACCTCCTACAAAGATCAACAGGAGCCACAATATTAAGCAAAGTGACATTAAATGGAGATACTTGGAATATTTGGAATCAAGAGAAGCACCTCAGTCATTTTCTTAGGGATTAACATATGGCCAGTCATTGGCCTGGGAAAATATTGTACATGACAATATGGAGTCCTTGAAAAACAATCAATGTCAAAATACATTTTAATTAAAAGCGATTAATTTCTCTGCTCTTTTGATAAGGTTTTTTGTAACTTTAAAAACTTTTGTCATTATTTTCTGTTAAAACCTCAAACACCCCAGACAAATTTACATCGCAGTATATAATGCATTTAATGTTTATTTTGTTTTATATTTGTATATATAAAATATATATGTGTATATGTGTATATGTAAAATAAAATTGAAACAGCCTTAGAAATTAAAAAAATAACGTTTTATTACTGTTTGTTTGGAGTGGTGTGAATTCACGTATGGATGTACTGACAACAAAAATAAAAGTAAATAATTTAATTAAAAACTTAGCACTTATTAAAATCCCTCACTAAATATCCATCCAGACTTTTAAACCCAGTTGCGCTCCGATTGGACCATGGGCAGTCACGTGGTGCAGTGCAGTCAGTCGCTGTGCCTGGAGCCAGCGCTGAGTGGAGCCTGTCTGCCAACAGCTTCAGCAGCGGCTCTATCTGGACCTTACTACACTCACTGACAATTAAAGGAGGCCCGTTTTTCTTCCATTTTCAAGGAATACTCTTCACCATGGGCGACAAAAAGAGCCCTACCAGGTAATGCGACCATACGCTGTCGCCTTGGACCCGTTTTAATGCGTTTTGAGGCTCGATATATTCGGATAATCGTTCGCCTCTTTCTCTCCTCACACAGGGATCGCTTCTCCCCCTTTTCACTTCAGCTAGCTAGAATAGTGCAGTCACTATGGCGGCTTCTCGCTCCCTTTACGAACCCAGTGACTTAAACAGACAAAGGGATTTTTTTCAGAGAAGACGACTGGCACTCAACGGTACGCTATACCGTCTCCACCCACGCTCTCGACGAAGTCTTTCTGGGGGTCGATGTCGAAATTGACACGGTTTCGTGTTGCTTTTGATAGCCGACAGGGCTAAGCCTTGATGCCGAAATTTTTAGCAATGCCCGTCTGCCTGTCTGTATGTTAGCCTAGCTGGCGATACAGTCGGACCGTGAGGACATTCGTCACTCGCGGAGGTGCTGTTGGAGGTAGTGTGGGTTTGGGGACTTAAACGCCAATGGGGCTCTACCAACCGGGACTCGAACCTAAACGATAATATTAATGACAGCACGCCATGCTCCGCGTCCTGCCAAAGTATCACATATTTTACAACAACAGGTTACGTTCACCGCAAGCCTTTGCTGTTTTATTTATTCTATTTCGTGATAATTTTTTTTGTAGGGCATCTCTGGAATTAACTGAATCTTAACCGTTTTGTGTCATTTTCAAAAGGCCAAAAAGACAAGCCAAACAGAACGCAGACGACGGCTACTGGGACTGTAGCGTGTGCACCTTCAGAAACACCGCCGAGGCTTTTAAATGCAGCATCTGCGACGTGAGGAAGGGCACTTCCACAAGGTAACGTAGAGCTCTCTCCCTCTCTCTTGCTCTCTCTTTCTCTCCCTCTCTCACTCTGTATGTCTTTTTTAACTCTCCGTCTCTCCCTCTCTCTTCAGTCTCAGCCTCTCGTTTCCCTTCATTCCTTTCTACACTCTCTGGCTGCTGCAGCAGTGTATCATTGCATCGCAATTTATGGGAATGGCAACTTTGATCGACAGCTTGTGTTTTGCCAGATGGACTTGTTAATGACCTACCATCATAGAAACTGACGTCTGTCATCACGCTTTCCCGTCTGGATTATTCTCCACTTTTGTCATTGCGAGTATGATATTGGACAGTGCTGTTGCTTCCCTTGCGCCTTGGTAGAGGGTCGGAGAGAGATGCTATGAGGCACAGAAGGGTAGACCATATACTACATGGTGGTCTTGACGCTTCTGTGCACCATCGGAGCAATCACAAAAAAACCTGCTGTTGCAGTGTTTTCCATGGAGTGAACTGAGGTGACTGCATGTGTTGGCATTTATGCTGCCTGTAGGCTTGCAGAGTAAGTTTTAATTATTGTCACTGTGACAAGTAATGTTGCTCCTAAAGTAGCTATAAAATAAAGGGGAAATCTTGTCATCTTTCTGGATAGGATAAGTCGAACTGCAGCCACCAATTCCAGATGTTTCTTCTTTCCAGCGGTGATTAGAGTTGATATAGTGTTCCTACCCAGTGTTCCAAAAACCCATTTGTCTCATTTTTTATGATTAATTGTTTTCAAAACTTGCTTTGCCCCAAAGCTGAATTGTTCTCTATTAAGAATACTAAGTCTGGTTTGCTTTCCAAAGTCTAAAAAAAATAAGCATTACATTATCTATACATAATGTGCTTACGGCATTTCCCTTTAACTCACCTCAGAATATGGTTTATGGGAAATTGCGAACCAGTGTGTGTGTAATGTGTAAATCTTGATATGATTCTTTTTCTGTTTGGTGTGTGTGTCAATGCTGCCTTATGTTACAGGGACAGTTTCTGATGACTGAATGTGTGTGTGTGTGTGTGTGTGTGTGTGTGTGTGTGTTAAGGGGTGAATATGTTTTTTTGCAATTGTCATCAGCTGCGCATGACGGCATGCAGAGACAGATGAGTCAGTTGCAGGTTTGTTGATAGGTTCCCTGTACTCTAACCTTTCCGGCTGGGGTTTTGTGATGAGTTTCTCGCCTGACACCCCTGACAACAAGCAAATGGGACGGAAAATACAAGTTAAGTTTCACTGTTATCCCACCTCCTCTACTTTGAGTTTTTTCCCCCACAGTTTGTAGCTCAACACCCAGCTGATGCGAAAGCAGGAAGCGGAGATGAGCGTGGTGTAGCCACCCTGCCACTGTGTTTTGGCAACAGCCCAGCTTCCTTTGTTTAGTAAATGAAAGCACATGACATTACTGGAGTATTTCCTACATGTTGCCGTTTGATCTGAATAGTTAACCTTTGATTAATGCAGTTGTATATTGGTGGGGCTGCCTCTTATTGTAATAGGCACTAATTAACTGTCCTTTTCTCACTGTAATGTGTTTCACAGAGCATGGGACAAAGCAATGTGCTCTTAGCCAAATTATTCTCATTCTAGGCCACATGTGGTGTGTTGTCTTCTTCATCTTCTTCCCTTTTATGATGTCTTTTGAAAGGTCTCTAATGAATAAGAGTTTCTTATTTGCTAATCAAAGCTGCCACGTCTTTTTTATTCCATCCCTAATGTTATGATCGGGGTTTCCTGCAAGTGAAAAACTTGTATTGATTTGTGCAGTGATTTTAGTTGTCAGACTTATGTTTTACAGGAAATGATTGTTTTGAGGTGGTAATATGTCCCTAATAAGTTCCTTCCCCCAGTTCCTCCCTCAGTTGCTAAAAGTGTCTGATTTCTCCTGGGTCCCAGGACGATGGTCAGGCACTATTGGTGGTCGTAGCGGGACGATGGTCAGGCACTATTGGTGGTCATAGTTTGTCGTGAAGCGATTGTTAGAAATGTCAGTGCAGCCAAAGTTTTTCTAATGTTGTAGTTACAAGTTTTTGGTCACAGGTAATGTGTAACATAAATAGTTCCAAAACATGTGGTTGCCAGTTGATCAATGTGGGTCATGCATGTTGTGAGGTAAATGTGAATGTATGAAAAATCACAAATGATTTTGGTGTAAAAGATACTGTTTTTTTCCTCTCCCTCTCTCTTTCCCGCTGGCAGACTAGTGCTGCAAATTGCATCCAGCAGAAAATCTGGTTAGCAGCCAGCAGACTCTTGTGCAGGTTTTTCATCTGGGGCTGCAGTTTGTAAAATAAAACATCAGATGAATGTTTCCATCCCCTCAAGCTTGGTGCATCAATCATTCCCACTCTGCTTATAGTCATTTTTGCTTTATTTGCCAGACATTAACATGCATCTTGTTGCACTGTCCACAGGGTGATGGACACATGATACATAGATTTAGAAGTGTGTGAAATGCCACTCTGTTTGCAAATCATTCGATTTAACAAAAATGTTAAAAAGCAGAAAAAAAACACAGCTCTACATCACAGGTCTGCACATCTTTTTGAACATACTGTGATTTTATTATAGTCATAATTTGATTTGTATTCAGCATCAGAAGTACACATCCTTTTAGTTAAGATACTTGTTATTTGTTAAAACACATTTTCAACGTAAGCACATAGAGCAGCAAAGTGGAAATGTTAAAATGCTTATGTTACTTTGCAGATGATTGTTCTCATTGGAGGCTTTAACACACTATGTCCTGTGGTGGTGGAATCTTGGGTTAGCCATATCAATGTGTCACTAGGGGCAAATATGTGTGCAAACAATGTTGTGGTGTCAGCATGCAGAGAAAGATCCTATCATGTAGCTGAGAGGAGCCGAATCAACCTGTTGACGCAGTCAAAATACCAATCGGCTAAATCTAGCTTGTCCATCTCTGACTATTAAACAAGAAAGCGCTTTGCTTTTTGCACCTGACCTTACTGCTAATCTGACAGTTTTCAGTTGTCATTCTCTGTTTGCTTCTGAGGTAATTAAAGAAAATCTTGCATTTGAATTTCCCAGCGAGAGGCATGTTATTGTATTTGAATGTTTCTGGCATCTGAACCTGATCTCTGTGAACGTGACACGGTCTTGCCGTACATTAGTTTGCTTTGAGCTGGTGTTTGGTATGCACCTCTGGCAGCCCTGGGGCCTAGGGAGAAACCATTAGGAACCCTCTAAAGTTGATTGATGACAGGCAACACAGGAAGTCCTGAGGTACCTGAGTCTTTGACTGATGTGCTGTTATCTGTTCGCTGTTGCTCTGCTTTTTTTTCTGCCACTACAAAATGCTTCTATTCATTAAAAAAAGAATAAAAAACAAAACAAACACTGAAGTCACAGTGTCATTACTTTAATAAATAATATGACCTAAACCAAATTTGAAGCTACAACATATCTATTATAACACCTGAAGAATCAAAGTTTATTTTTCATAAAGTGCTTGAAAAAAATGTTTTAATTTTCTCTCTTCTGAGTTCTAAGAAATAAAAGTATGTGTCAAATCTTTATTTTTGATAGTCTGCACCCTTAAGTTAAGAATGAGAACAAAGTCAGAAACCTCCAAGGAATTAAGTTACTCCTAACTTACGTCCTTGGAGTAAGTTATTGCTTGTTCCTAGGCAGATAATCCACAGATTTCTTTATGCTGCATCTGCCAACCTAGACCCAACCCACCCATGTGGCTTGAATATTTGATCAACATTTGCTGAAATGCTTGATTCTATGACATACAGGCACAGAAGAAATCAAATCTTTAAAGGTGTGCCTGTTAGTAACAATTACGTACTGTATAGGGGACGCATTGGAACCCTTAAAGTTAAAGAGCAGTGAAACATGTTTAATGCTGTCCTGGCAGCACTGATAAAGCATAACCACTTTCCTTTGATTGATTCAGCTGCAGCAAATGGTGCATCTGACAGCTCTTAAATAGACCTTTAAAAGTTAAAGGGAACAGCGTAGGCTTGGGAGTTACAAGGTTAAGAAAAAGGGTAGATGTGTGACTTTTTGATAAAAGCAGTGTTGGGAGATATGTAACTTTCAGAACCAATAAATAAACAGAATTATGAGCTCTTAACCCTTGGTGTTACAGAGGCAGTAAAAATGTATGTTCACTTTTCTTGGCATTTCAGGCACTCTCTCTCTCTCTCTCTCTCTCTCTCTCTCTGCAAGTGTATAGTGGGACGATTATTAGAGGATGATTACAGCGCGTGTTTGTGTGTGTCTCGATGTATGTGCTCATGCTTCTGTCTTTTACAATGATGGAATAGAGTCATTATAATCCCTGGATTATCCCTCTGTCACATTAAAGCAAATTGTCTTGGATAATGGAATTACATAAGAGAGACATGCTAGTGCTTAATTTATATCTAACTGCCCCTAACCATTTGTTGTTTAAGTTGTTATAAAGTAATGGGGTGTGAGTGTTTAAAAAAATACTATTTATAATTTGTCACTCTTACAACAGGGTGTTTAGAAAGATGTTGCGTTGGAGCTCAGGCCTTTTTTGCCGAATAAGTGTATAAGTATGACAGGGAAGTGCTTTGGAAAACTACAAAGGCATATGAGGACAAGGAAAAAAAAGAGGAATGAAGCACAGCATCGCAGCTAGCTGGGAGAGGACAGAATGAGAAACAGAGTGGTGAGAGGACAGAAGGAGTGAAGCCAGTGAAGAGTGTGGACGTTTCTCCCAGTGTGTATGTTAAAATAAGGGGGGTATGAATTGCTGCAAGGGGGATGTGCTCACTCAGCCAAGTGTCTCCAGGGGCTGAAGCAGACCGAAGCACATCATTACCCAGAGAGGGGGTTGACTGGGCCGCCTCGTCTGTTTTTACTAGTGCTACCCTCCATCCACGAGGAAAGAAAAGTGGCATTTGACAAGTCCTTTGAGATTATGAGAGAAATTTCACTTTATTTGATCCCTTTAAACACTTTAAACTGTCTTCAATTCAGTGTTCTTTCAAACTCGGGA